CTCCCCGTCCTCTTCCTCCTCCTCCTCCTCCTCCTCCCCGTCCTCTTACTCCTCCTCTTCCTTGTCGTCCTCCTCCTCTTCCTCCTCTTTCTCCTCTTCCTTGTCGTCCTCCTCCTCTTCCTTGTCGTCCTCCTCCTCTTCCTCCTCTTCCTCCTCTTCCTCCTCTTCCTCCTCTTCTACTTCTTTGTCTTCGTCTTCCTCCTCCTCCTCCTCATCATCATCATCATCATCATCATCGTCATCATTATATTCGTGCCACCCTCTTCCTCGTCTTCTACTGTGTCCTCAACTCCTCCTCCTCCTCCTCCTAGGACCTTCCCTCCTCCTCCTCCCCCCTCCTCTTCATCCTCCCTATCACCCCCCTCCTCGCCCTCCTCCTCTTCGTCCAGCCGCGTCAGCGTCGCTATGACATCTGGAGCTGTTTAATAAATGTATCAGGTATAGTGAATGATTAGCGGCCTCGGGGGTGAAGCACCCTCGACCTGTTCCCGTACTTCAAATAGGTAAGATTTTGGGATTGCTGAAGCGAACCTGGAGGATCAATGAAAGCTCCAAATCATTCATTTCTGATAAGCAGAACTGGCGATGCGTGATGAACCGGAACTTGAGCCACGCTCCCAAACTGCACGCTAGCCCAGACACCATAAAGGGTGATTGATACAGCCAGCAGGACGGTGGTCATGGAAGCCGAAATCTTTTAAGAAGGAAGAGGAGGAGGAGAATGAGGAGGAGGAACAAGAGAACAATGTGAAGGAGGAGGAGGAGGAGGGAGAGGAGGAGGAAGATGAGGATGAGGAGAAGGAGGAAGTGGATAAGGAATAGGAGGAAGAGGAGGAGGAGGAGGATGACGAGTAGGAGGAGGGGGATGACAGCGGTGTTGTTAAGGCGGACTTTGACCCTCCCCCTGCATTTTTTTTCTTCAAATCAATTATTCAATCAATCAATCAACCGATCAAACAATCAATCAATCAATCGATCAATCAATCAATCGATCGATCAATCAATCAATCAATCTATCAATCGATCAAACAATCAATCAATCAATGAATCAATCGATCAAACAATCAATCAGTCAATCAATCAATCAATCAATCAATCAATCAAATAGATTGATCAAACAATCAATCAATCAATTGATCAATCAATCAATCAATCAATCAATCGATCAATCAATCAATCAATCTATTAATCGATCAAACAATCAATCAATCAATGAATCAATCGATCAAACAATCAATCAGTCAATCAATCAGTCAATGAATGAATCGATCAAACAATCAATCAGTCAATCAATCAGTAGTCAATCAATCAATCAATCAATCAATCAATCAATCAAATCGATTGATTAGATTGGATTGTGATTGAATGAAAATCAAGATCCAATCCAATGATTGATTGATTGATTGATTGGTTGATTGTCGAGGAGGAACTTTCTGGCGAGCGGGGGAGGAGGAGGAGAACGATGAGGAGCAGCGGGAGAACAGCGTGGAGGAGGAGGAGGAGGGAGAGTAGGAGGAAGAAGAGGAGGCCGAGGAAGACGATCAGGAATAGGAGGAAGAGGACGAGGAAGATGTCGACTAGTAGGAGGAGGAGGGGAGGGAGGAGGAGGAAGAAGAGAAGGAGGTGGCAGCAAGCGAAGACGAGGAGGAATAGGAGAAAGAGGAGGAAGAGCAGGATGAGTAGGAGGATGAGTAGGAGGAGGGGGAGGAGGAGGAGGAGGAGGAGGTGGAGGGGGAGGATGAGAAGGAGGAGGAGGAGGAGGAGGAGGAGGGAGAGGATTGAGTCAATCAATCAATCGATCAATCAATTGAATCAATTGATTCGATTGGATCTTGATTCAATGAAAATCAAGATCCAATCTAATCACAATTGATGCGATTGGATTGATTGATTGGTTGATTGCCGAGGAGGAGGAGGGGAATGAGGATGAGGAGTACAAGGAGGAAGAAGAAGTACAAGACGAGGACGACGAGGAAGAGGTGGAAGAGGAGGAGGAGGTGGACGAGGAGTAAGTGGAGGAGGAGGAGGAGAATTCAAACGAGACATCGGCGAAAGACTAATCGAACCTTCTTGTAGCTGATTTTCTCTGAAGTTTTCCTCAAGATAGCTGGGGGTGGAAACGCCCTCGACATTTTCTCGAACTTTAAATAGGTAAGATTTTGGGGTTGCTTAAGCGACCTCGAGAATCAATGAAAGCTCCAGGTGGGCCTTTTCTGGTAAGCAGAACTGGGAATGGGGGATGAACTGAAAGTTTGAGCTACGCTGCGAAATTGTGCATTTACCCAGCCACCACAAAGGGTGTTCTCTCTCGCCCTGCCCACGACCCCCTTTCTTTCTCTTTTGTTTTTTTTTGTTCTCCCAATCAGTCAATCAATTAATCAATCAATCATTCCAATCGGATCGATTGATTTGATTGAATAGTGATTGAATTAGTATCAAGATCCAATCGAATTGATTGATTGATTGATTGAATTAAAAAAACAAAAAAAAAGTTGGGGGAAGGGGCCTTCAGCTAATTTTATTTGCTTTTCACACCTGTTGCTGAGGCTCAATCTACTGGCAGGCTGGAAGCCTGAGAGCTGCGTTGAGTCTGTACTCTGTGGCAAAGACTCGCAGGCTTTTCAACTGGTAAGCGAAACTGGATAATGTTTCCAGAAAAGGTCCTCTCCGGAGTAATGTCGAGGACCATGACCTCTTATTTCTGACTATTGAATGAACTGTTTGAGGGAAAAAAATATGAAATCTACTCGCAGGGAGCTGGCTAGACTGATTCGATGATGAGACACGCACACGCAAAGTCCATGCATACACAAGTAGTATACCAAATAAATTAGGAGATGTTGTTGTAGCCATAGAGAAGGCTCCTGCGTACTAGAGTCAAAAAAGGGGAAAGAGATTGTACGATGATTGCAAAACGCTCAAGGTTATGGCACCGCAACCGGTTTCGACCGCCGCCATGTGGTCATCCTCAGGGGGATCTTCCACCGATCCTACATTCCACTTCCCACCTCTTTTCTTCTTTTTTTCTCTTTTTTCTATACACAGGAATTACGAATTGAGAAATGGTCCAAATTTTTACTTTCCTGTATCTACGAATACAGGTTTTATATTTCAGGATTGGGCAAAAGTAGATCCAGCCGTGCCTTTTTTTTTTCTTTTTTTTTTTAATCACTAGTACCTTTGCCGTTTCGTTTTGGGAAGTTTTAGCCTGGTACTCCCGAACCTTTAGGAGGCGGGGCCCGATAACGGCTGCTGTTGATAAATCTGATCAGCGGCGGCCTTCTGAAAGGTCGGAGGCCCACTATTTTCTGAACCGACAAAGGTACTAGTGGTTTAAGCCCAGGGTGTTGTGGAGGCCACGGACCAGACCCGCGGTGATTGCTGGCAGCGGCAGCCAAAGGTTGTCCTCACAGGATAGGCCTCCTAACCTTCCCATCCCTGTATTAATACTGCCAACACACCCCCTCTCCCTAGTATCCAGCCGTGCCCTTATGTTCCTTTTTGGAATCCCAAATGAGTATGGTTCCCAGGTCTCGGTTTGGTTACGAAAAAGGTTGGAAGGAAAGTGTGCGTTGAGTCGAACTCTTTTTTTTTTTTTTTTTTTTTTTTTTTTTTTCATCTTTTGGGGGGGGTTTTTTTATTTTTTTTATGTGGTCCGATGGACCATGGATCAAG